AGCCCGCTCTCGGTGGCTAATAAATTAATATTGTATAAATCAGTCATCAGGCCTGTCATCGTGTATGGTTGTCCTGTATGGTGCTCTGCGTCTGCAACCCAGCTACTCAAGCTGCAACGGTTGCAGAACAAAATCCTCCGCTATGTCACAAATAGCGGTAGGTACGAGTCACAGGACAGCTTGCACGAGATGACAGGCCTCGAGCTAATTAACGAACACATAAGGCGGCTGTCAAACAATTTCTATTCTTTTAAACTCAGTGGGCATCCACTGACTAGAGAGATTACTAATTTGAGGCATGCGGACAACGTGTTGTACAAACACCGTTTGATATACGGCACTTTGCCGATTTTCTTTCAGCGAAGGCTGAATTAACTTTTCTGACACACCCTGTACATAGCCGACCCACAATGGTCATTAATTTGTGCAATTATGCAAATGTATCGAGTTGCCGGTGCATACTCGGTACATGTATAAGCGCACATTTTCAGCTGTCGCTCCCTGACGTGGCAACCAGTCGGCAGTCGTGTAAACCCAGCCACCTCTGCGCCAAAACACCTGGCAGAGTCGTCGGGTTCCAAACAACTCCATTCCCAAAAACCAACAAAATATGTAACAAATACATAAACTTTACTAAAACCAGGTTAAATTCACCAAATGGGCATAACCCAACTATCATATATCGATTTAACATCAAAATATTGACTTTGAGTAAGGGGACACCACACCCTTATACTCGGTCAATTTATAAGTTTCGTAAAGGTGTGGCGACCGACATCGGTCGCTGCACCTTTATATTCAACTTAAAGGTGTAGCGACCGACCTCGGTCGCCGAACCTTTATATCCAACTTAAAGGTGTAGCGACCGACCTCGGTCGCTGCACCTTTATATGCAACTTAGAGGTGTAGCGGCCGATCTCGGTCGCTGCACCTTTATGTACTGTCACCACACATTTATATTGCTGTCGACACACCTTTATTTCGGTAAGGGTGTGCTTCCATCTACCGCTACCTGATGCGACAGGAACTAAAATATTTAACCAGGTTTTTTGTGTATTTTTCCTGGGCTATTACAAAAATTTTATTACCACAAACTAAGAAAAACATTAAAATTAATTATCGACTCAGATCACGCACGACGAAGAGCCCCTAATTCGCAAAGCGAGAGGAATGGCCGAACTCTGAGAACTTTGAACAGGACTTATCTAGCAGCGAGTGACTAACATCGTCAGCAACCGGGAGGCCATGGCACCTGGAGGCAGCAAGAAACATACTATTTTTTCTTAAATACAAAATGTTTTTTCCACTATTGCTATCATGTTAAATTTGTCCTGTATATAATCTGTGATATTAATTGTAAAATAAACGTATTTGATTTGATTTGCTTTGGTCCTTCTTTACTTTATTTAAAAATAAATACAACTTATTAAGACAACAAATAAAAACTGATATCAGAGAGCACAGAAATAGAGTGTGGAGCAAAATGCTCAGCAATCTAAGTGCCTCTGATAACAGTCTCTGGAAAGTTGTCAAACAACTGAAGCCAAAAAAACCAGAGTTCCCCACCTTATTAGACAATAACACAATCCACGAAACAAATTCTGAAAAAGCTGAATTACTCGCAGAGTTCTACAGCGAAATATACAAAACAGACTTAACTAATAAAACACTAAACCAAGATAAAATAATAAACACCGCTAATGAGCTAAAAAATAAAAAATTCAACATCGAACCCAAACTCCTTACATCACCAAGTAAAATTCAAGCCATAATTTCCAAATTAAAAAACAATAAAGCCCCAGGAATAGACGAAATAGACAACATCTTAATTAAAAACCTCCCCACTAAGACACGAGTACAACTAACATATATAATAAACGCATGTATAATTCAAGCCTACTTCCCAACCAGCTGGAAACAAGCCATCATCACCCCCATCCCCAAGCCCGGCAAAGATCCTAAAAACAAGGGTAGTTATAGGCCAATCAGCCTCCTCAGCAATCTATCAAAAATTGCTGAGAGAGTAATCAATAACAACATAGAAAATTCAAATAAAAAACTCAAAATACTACCATCAGAACAGTTTGGGTTTAGGCCAAACCTAAACACAACCCATCAGGTTGCTAGAATTGTGCACGATGTCAAGCAGGCATTCAACAGGGGGCAAAACACAGTAATGACCCTGCTTGACATCGAGAAAGCGTTTGATAAGGTTCGGGTGGACGGCCTTGTCCACAAGATGGTTAATTTTAATTTTCCAATTTCAACCACAAAAATAATACAATCTTTTCTAACAGGCAGAACACTAAAAGTCAAAGTACACAATAAAATATCCAAAAACTACAGCATAGAGGCGGGAGTGCCCCAGGGCACTGTACTTGCACCTATGCTATACAGCTTGTACACGGCGGATATCCCAAAATCTTTACATACAAAGATTGGATTATTCGCAGACGATACCGCCGTGTACAATCACTCTTTCAGCTCCCAAGTGGCAGCAGAGCAAATAAAAATCTACCTAAGAAGCCTAATTAAATATTTTACAGATTGGAAGATTAAAATTAACCATCAAAAAACCGAAGTTATAAATTTTACCATAAAATTTACTAATAATAAAATTTTTAGCCCAATTAAAATAAATAACACAGACATTATAGATAAAAAACAAGTCAAATACCTGGGTATAAACTTAGATAGCAAACTAAATTTTAACTACTACGTACAAACATTAAAAGCTAAAACGCATGCAGCAATCAGGAGAATGTACCCGTTAATAAAAAAGAACAGCTTTCTTGACTTAAATAATAAAAAACTAATCTACAAGACCACAATTAGGCCCATTATTACGTATGGATACCCTGTGTGGTGTTCCATACCAGCAACAACAATGGCAGAAGTACAAAAACTACAAAATAAAGTACTAAGATTAGTCCTGAATTTAGACAGGTATGCCACTATGATTGAACTCCACACAGACGCCGAAATAGAACGTATACAAGAATTTAGTTATAAATTATCCTAAAATTTCTGTAGAAATAAAATTAAATACTCACCACTTACTGCTGACATGACACAAATAAGACATAACAACACAATACACTACAAACACCAGCTTATATATGGAAAATTACCTATATTCCACGAAAATATTAATAATGACTAACAAACACAACTCCATATTTCTAAAAACTACCCCTACTAAGGGCCGTATACGCGATATAGACTCGTTTGTCCGGCCCCGAACGGGAATAGTATATCTCAAGCCACGGCAAATTAAATACTAAATTCAAATAATATTAAAATTAAAATCCAAAAATAAACTTAACTTTGTAAACAAATAATCATAACAAACAAAAAAAACATAAATAAACATCAACAATATCCTCGTACTGTTTGTCGTAAAATGAAAATTGCTCGCACAGTTACGAAAATAAAATAATAAAAAATTCACAAAATGATCCCAAAAACTAAAAAAGCTTAAAAAAAATAGACGCACAAAATATCAAAAAATCATAAAAAAATAACAAAAAAAACCAAAAATAAAAAAATTTCTCCGCACGGTGCGGCAACATAAAACCACGATATAGCCGCATGATAAATGCCACTTTCTAAAATCATTCAAAACACCAAAAATGACACAAGTTGATGCAAATCAACTTGTGTCAATACAAACACACAATATACAGACATATATAAACATATACAAATATGGCGCGCCTTTTTGGTATTTAATATGCATGTTAAAATTGGTAACTTAAATAATTGCAATTATCGAAAAGTATATTTTTTCTGTGCAAAATATTATTTTTAATTCTCATCCTATTGAGTGATACATAAAATAGGTTAATGCCTTAAAGACTCATGTAATTTTTAATTCTGTAAAAAAGCTGAAGATAAATATTTTATTACTTTGTGGCTTTACTATTTAATACTCTAAACAAATATTTGATTATTTTTTACATCAGACTTATAACGAAAAAATTTAACCGAATTTTATAAGAAATATTTACACAATAATTTTTAATTTTAGTTACGAAGAAAAATAATTTGTACAGCACATTCACTGATAAATAAACGATTTTATTCGATCCCAATTACTTTAATCAATGCATTTGAAAGAGTGTTGTAAAAATAAATGTATGCAGCTGTAAAAATAATTCATTTAATTACCAAGGATTTTTTGCAGGAAAATTAATTTTTACATGACATGTGATGTAAATATTATTTGTTGCCCCACATGTAGTGCATAAATGAATTTTTACATCACATGTGAAGTAAAAATTATTTTTTTCGTCACATATGATGTAAAAATTATTTTTTCCATCACATGTGGTGCATAAATGAATTTTTACATCACATGCGATGTTAAAATTATTTTTTCCATCCCATGTGGTGCATAAATGAATTTTTACATCACTTGCGATGTTAAAATTATTTTTTACATCACATGTAGTGCATAAATGATTTATTACATCACATGTCATGTATAAATTCATTGTTGGTTGCCTAGCCTCATTGAATGATGGTACTACTGTGTTACAATAAATAATTCCCTAGATTTGGGACCATCACCAAGGGTTGCCAACTTGGTTTAATTTATACTTTATCTAGTACTATTAAAGCTGTTTCATATATAGATGCGAATTGAGATATGAAATACAAAAATTCGCATATCGAAAATCCTATTTCATATACATGCGAACTATTTTTATTAAAAAAATTAGCCAAAGTACGAGGTTTTAATCATCTCTGTAATTTGTATGGTTGGCAACCCTGGGTTTATGCTAAAACTTTTGGCGGCAAACGTACAAAACCAGAGACAAACAAAGCAGCAAGTGCATGATCATCATCATATATTATATTCCTATAGGAATCTAGGATTATATTCTTTTTCTATGTGCATAATATACCTACATAGAAAGAGAATAAAATTTTACAAAGAAGAAGAAGAAGAATAACCCTTGTAACCTTTATAACCTGTGCCTTGTTTTCTATTTACAATGGAAAGAAATTTGGACAGAGTACTTTCTGTGATAGAACGGAAAGTATTTGAAGCCATTAGACTTATAGAAAATGAGGAATTTTCCCTCAGTTTACAAGTTATAAGTGAGGGTAAAAGAAATTTACTGAGGATTAGAAGTGCCATTAGTGCCGAAACGTTGGAATCCTTACAAGTTAATTTTAATAAATTAGAACAAATTTGTCAAAGGACTCTAACTACCAACAATGAAAACAGTAATGGTCGCTATTTCGCTCCAAGAATTAAAAATGGTAATTATTAGTAATATATCAAAACTTGTTATAAATAAGAATGTTTCAGGAAGAGGCAGGCCAGCTGTTTTTATAACTAAAGAGCAAATTGAGTTGTTAATAGGTGAAAATTTTACTGCACGACAAATTGCTCAACATTTTAATTGCTCAGAAAAATTGATATATAAAAAATGTTATTCATTTAATATAAAATTGAGAGACAAATATTTTACTGGTACTGATGCAGAACTGGAGGAAGAAATATCAAGATTACATGTTGAATACCCAAACAGTGGAGCTCAGGTTACTGTCAAATAGTCCATTTGCTTGGTTTAATGACTTATTTTAGATGATGACTGCCTACTTAAGAACAAAAGGAAAAGTGGTCCAGAGAAATAAAGTTAGGCGAATATTGAGCCTAATTGGCCCAATTGGCACTGCTCGCCGTTGGAGTACAGCAATACGCCGCAGGACATATAAAGTTCCTTCACCAAATTCATTGTGGCATATGGATGCCCATCTTAAGCTAATCCGGTAAAATTAAATCCTACTTTTAAATTTTTAAGTATACTTATCACATTAAATTTTTTTCTTAATAATTTAGCTGGAAATTTGCAATTCACGGTTGCATAGATGGGTATTCCCGATTAATCCTTTATCTAAATTGTACCACTTCAATGACTGCTAGCACTGTAATAGCATCGTTCACTGGAGCTGTAGTGCAATATGGTTTGCCTTCACGGATTCGCTCAGATTTTGGGTATGAAAACCTATTTGTGGCAATGGTAATGAATGCTATACGTGGTCTAAGTAGAGGAAGTCATTTGACAGGACGATCTGTCCACAACCAAAGAATAGAGAGGTTGTGGGTAGATGTTTTCAAGGAGGTTGTGGATTTTTTTTACCGTGAATTTAACGCACTGGAGGATGCTGGATTTCTAAATATTAATAATTTAAAACATTTATATGCCCTTCAAAAGGTTTATGTTAAATTTATAAACGAAAAGCTGGACTTCTTCAGGGAAGCTTGGAATTGCCATAAAATCAGAACAGCAGGTTTTAAATCACCAAGACAATTGTGGTTATCTGGAGTATTGCAAAACGCCAATTCAGAGTACACCGCTCCATCTGAAGTTTTAACAGAACAACCTGATTTATTTACAAGAGTGGTTGAAGCATTTGACATTAATGAAAGGGAAATACCGGCAATTGTTCCAGATGAGGAAGAAGTAACTTCCAACTTAACAGTAGATTTTCAACTGACTGATGATCAACTCGCTTTTGTAGATAATGTCTTGAGTGATAATACCCTAGATTATAGGTCAAAGTATTTAAGAATTGCAGCTTTTTTAGATACTTTAATGTAAATACGATTTGGCGTATTAGTTCTTTATTTTATGTAAGTAAACAATATGTAAAATAAATCATTTATTAAATAAAAAAAACATAATTTTTTTAAATTCATAAAATATAAATAAAAATAGAAAACAAAACATTATATAAAAAATAAATAAAAAAAACCTTTGGTAAAAAAGTCACATTGGTACCTAGATTAAAATCTAAACCTATTAAATTAGAGGGCCGAATATTGAAAACAAATTTCATTTTCTAAAATTGCTTCGAACTGAAATTTTAATTCCTGAGAGCTGGAATAAGTCGTTGGTAATTCTAGTACATTTGAGCAGGTGTGGGCTACTGGGTAATCCCCTGCTTTAAAGCTAATTGTAATAAATTCTGGCATATGTGGAGATCCAGTGATAAATTGTAAGAATGTTGCAAGTTTATTTAAAGACATATTTTTTATGTATGTTTTAAAAAAGTAATAAACACGAGCCTGAAAATTATTTAGGTCCTCTGGGTCTGTTTTCAGGGCTTTTAAAATTTTGTCAGGTGTAGGTGCTTGTTGTGCAAATAAAGCGTTCACTTTATTAACACTTAACTCTTCAAAAAAGTTTTCACAAAATAGTGGAATGCCATCTTTTATTAGCTTCAAAAAGTTGTTGCTTTCTAAACATAAAATATTTCTTGCTATAATGTGGAGTTGATCCTCAATTTCGGAGGCTTTGGGCAGTTCTGCAAGCCCAAACGTTGCAAAAAACTCCCACAGTAGATCCTGCTCTATATTAGTCAGTTGATCAAACTTATTTTTTGCTTTAAAAATCAGTGACCGTTCTGAAGGAGTAAGAAAAAAGAAGAAATCTTCTAATAATATTTCATTAGGTATATCAGTTTCTGCGGAACTTAATTTTAAAAATACAGTTTTGCAAAGCATCGTAGGAATATATTTTGTTAAAATTATTCCATGGGTTAAAATTCTCCCAATAACTGGAAATTTTTTATAATGGTAAAAACGGTACCATTCGGTTTTCCCCTCTAAAAAATTCAAGTACACATTTTTCCCAGAATACCGAGAATAATTCTTTAGTTAGGCCTCCAAAGTCCAGCCCCTGTTCATTTTCAAATGTTACTTTAATCATTTTTTGTACAATAGTTTCATCTTCGTATAATTGCAACATCTCTTCCAAAATATTTTCTCTTCTCATTATCACAGGGAATACTTCGGAGTCTTCATTGTTGACAGGTAAAACAGGGTATTCTATATCAGCTGTGATAGAGATTGAATTGGTTGTAGATTCAATCGAGTCTAAAACAAAAATATAAACGAAATTAATAATAATATATTTATTTTATTGTCCAAGGATCAAGTACAATTTGTACATTTAGATATAGAACTATAGTCACAAAATACAAAGTATTAGAACAGAAAATAATATAAAAAAAACATTTTACTAAATTACAGTGATTAAGTAATACAAAAATATAGATTTCTATTTTATTCTATTTACAATAATTCTTTAAGTAGTGTTGCATATCACAGCGTAACAGTTAAAAAAACTCATCGACACTATAAAATACTTTTGAAGCTAAGAAAATTGTTAGTTGAACCTTGAACTGCTTAATACTTTCAATGGACTTTAAGTATTCAGGAAGTTTCCTGTAAAGCTTGATACCAATATAGTTAGGGATATTTTCAAACAGTCTAAGTCTATGCTTAGGGAGACATAAGTCACCATGTCCACGAGTGTTTTTTTGACTAAATTTATGCTAATATTATCAATACCAGTTGAAGTTGAATTTTTCATTTTTTTAATAATAAGCCTGTAATTCTGCTTTACTAATTTGAGTAATCAAAAATGTGTTAAAGACGCTTTTATTTAAGGAACACTTTTGATTATCTATTTTTGTATTACATTGTTTTGGTATGTTTACAAAATATTGATTAAAATATTCTACAATTTTATTGTTGTTTGTAACCAACTCATTATTTGCATTTTTTATTTTATTTATTTTAAGTGCACTTTTATTGCTATTTGTATTTTCTTTTATAAGTTTCCAAGATGCCCCTGATATGTTACTTGAATTTAGTATTTGGTTATCATTATTTATCTGTTTTGCTTTTTTTTGGTATCTCTATATACCTACTTTTTTATATTTTTTGTAATATTTAACATCATTTTGATTATTTGTGTTAATGGATTTGAAGTAAAGTTTTTAATAATATTTTAAATAATTTTTAGAGGGCTTTCCAATTAAACCCCATTATAAATCATGTCATACATGATACAATTTTTGAATTTTAATTTTTCTTAAGGAATAGCGGTAATGAATTGAGGGGTGTAGTCACAAGTCACATTCTCCACTTTTTGTGAAAAATGCACATACTTCCACACATACAGTGTGACCCATTTGTTTGCGACTCACCCCTGTAAAATCTTTATTTATTGTGCGATTTTAACCGAATTTGTTTTTATCTAGTTTGGGCTACCTTAAGTGAATTGACTTTACTTACCTAAATACTGTTGGCTGTGTAATGTTGTATCCTCGGCGAATAACTCGTTTGATATAACTGTTGAAGATGACGCTGCCAAACTGATGTCATTGATCGAGTCTATTAAAATTTGGTTGTTATATTATTACCGTAACTTTATAAAACATGCAAGCTTTATGTACCTGTTACTTGAAAAGATTCACTTCCAACAATTGTTAATGGTGATAGGTTTGTATTGTTATTGCGTCGTATTGGTGATAAAACTTCACCATCAGAGTTATCACTATTTTGTTCAATTGTAACTCTTCTCCTGGACACAACAGTATTTCTTTGATTGGCTCTAACGCGAACTTGTAAAGATTGTTCAAAATCATGATCAGAGTCAGGATTTGTTTCTTCAGTATTCGTAACTCTTCTTCTGGAAACAACAGTATTTCTTTGATTTGCTCTAACGCGAACTTGTTGTAAAGATTGTTCAAAATCATGATCAGAGTCAGGATTTGTTTCTTCAGTATTCGTAACTCTTCTTCTGGAAACAACAGTATTTCTTTGATTTGCTCTAACGCGAACTTGTGGTAGAGATTGTTCAAAATCATGATCAGAGTCAGGACTTGTTTCTCCAGAATTCGTAGCACCTCTATTATTCGTAAAATTATTATCCTAAAACAAAACCAAGGTAAAATATTCTGCAGTTTTAGAATAGGAACTTACTCTTTCAGAAATTATATCTACATCTGGATTATAAAACATATCTCTGTTTGGAATTAAAATAACCATTCCCCGGGGCACTTCCTGGTGGAGTTCTTCTAAAGTATTTGCAGTAAATATTGTTATTTTTTTTTCTTTACTGCATTTTCCAAATCGAAAACCCACGTTTTCTAATTGAACACTGTCATATACTTCACATATAAATCGTTGAACTCTAGCGAATGACCAATGATTTTTAAGTTGTACTATTTTCTTTCCTGAAATAAATGTGACTTTTTTAAAAGCATGACGTGAAAAATTGTAATTGAAATATTGAGAAAAGTAGTACAATTTATGTTAATTTACCTTAATTACAAAAATTACATAATGATGGAATGCAATAGCAAATTTAAAGTTTCGGTCGTGTCATTTTGGTAATTAAGGTAAAGTCACACTAAATGTACCTACCATTTTTTTTGACACAATCATACAGTTTTTTTTTTTTTTGGTTTATTGTCCTTTTCCTCTAAGGATAATTAGCCAGCTCATTCAGTTTTGAAGTTTGTGTTTTTACACCCAAGGCTGTGACCGGGAATCGAACCCGGTACCGTGGCGCAGATTGATTACCGCTCTGTAGCTTTAACCCACTGCGCCATCCTCGGCCCCCAATCATACAGTTCGTTTTTTTTTATTTGGAATTTGACGTCAAAATCTAGGGACCCTAAATTTATAATTGGCTGCATTGACTCTGGTCTAGTGAAAAGATCCTTAAGGGTTTTTATTCGGAATTTGACATTTAATTAACTCTAGTTTAGTGGAGAACTCGGTGGAGAATATAATTATGGTTATGTTATAATAGACCTATCCCATAAAACGGACTTTTGGATAGCGCGTGCGTGAAAAGGCACGTCGTCTTTTTTTAATTATATAAAAGAGAAAGAGATACCACTCTTCTTCAGGCACGCGCTATCCAAAAGTCTGTTTTATGGGATAGGTCTATTCTGACAGTTAAATGACAATTTATTTAAAAATAAGGGCATGCTGTGTTAAGGGCTGGAACAGGAGTACCAATTTTAAATATTAAAAATACCAAAGTATATAAATAACATAATCAAATGTGTCCAATTCCGAAGAGACCTATATATTCCACACCTAAAAACCTATATTCACAAAAAATACATACATTTCGTATTTTTTTTATTCGGAATTTGACACATTTTATTATGTTGGTACTCTATGTCAATATACTTTGGTAATTTTTTTAAAAATTGGTACAGTCTTATGCAAATAAAAAGCGTACCTTCAGCCTTAGAATGAGAGGTTCTGCACTTGTCAAATATGGCGAGTTGTGTTATAAAAAATACAGTGCCGTAAATGTAAACCAGCTGTCAGTTAACTGTCGGCTGGTTTACATTTACTTTTATTAAAATTATTTTTTATATTTTCGATGTTTCAAAATTTTCACTCATTATTCCACAAATTTGAGCCACCCTGTATGTATTTTTTTATAGGTACACAAAATAGTATATTATTATACAAGCATATAACGAGGGCTATTATTCACGAAGGTTAAGTTTATGTCACGAGCGTAGAGAGTGGCATAATTAGCCTGAGTGAATAATAGCTCATTATATGAGAGTATAATACTATACTTTTTCCACGACTAATATAAAATAATATACCTATTTTAAACAACTTTATTTATTATAACCTATTTGACATTAACAAAACTAAAATAACGTTTCAAATTGACAATTTAAGGTTAGCTTGTCTGTCAAATAAGCCATTAATGGCTTATTTACTTGAAATAGTCTATTTAATGTTAAATTTTTATTCAATTGCATTAAAAAA